CCCCAGAGTGACCACTGACCCCCCACTGACCCCCAGAGTGACCACTGACCCCAGAGTGACCACTGACCCCCCACTGACCCCAGAGTGACCACTGACCCCCCACTGACCCCCAGAGTGACCACTGACCCCAGAGTGACCACTGACCCCCCACTGACCCCAGAGTGACCACTGACCCCCCACTGACCCCCAGAGTGACCACTGACCCCTCACTGACCCCAGAGTGACCACTGACCCCCCACTGACCCCCAGAGTGACCACTGACCCCTCACTGACCTCTGTCCCATCCCCCGCCGTCCGTCCATCCCCCCGCGTCGTCGCCGCGGTGACGTCGCCGCGCCGCCGGTGCCGCCGCAGGTGCGCCCTCAGGTTGCCGCGGGCGGCGAAGCGGCCGCCGCAGAGGTCACAGCGCAACGGCCGCCGGCCCCCCGGAGAGCGCGGCCGGACGCGCCGAGACCCGGCACTGACCGACGGCGTGGGGGGCAGTGGTGCGGTCAGCGATGGGGTCAGTGGTGCGGTCAGCGATGGGGTCAGTGATGGGGTCAGCGATGGGTCAGTGGTCAGTGATGGGGTCAGTGATGGAGTCAAGGGTGTGGTCAGCGATGGGGTCAGCGATGGGGTCAACAAGGGTGAGGAACCCAACGATGATGAAGAACCCAACAATGGACCCAACGATGATGAGGAACCCAATGTTGGATCCAACGTTGGACCCAACGATGATGAAGAACCCAAGGATGGTGAGGAACCCAACTTTGACCCCAAAGATGGACCCAATGAAGGTGAAGAACCCAATGTTGACCCCAATGATGGTGAAGAACCCAACTTTGGACCCAAAGAAGATGAAGAACCCAACTTTGGACCCAAGGATGGTGAGGAACCCAACTTTGGACCCAAAGATGGACCCAAGGATGGTGAAGAACCCAAGGATGGTGAAGAACCCAATGATGGACCCAACGATGGTGAGGAACCCAACTTTGAACCCAACTTTGGACCCAAAGATGGTGAGGAACCCAACTTTGGGCCCAACGTTGACCTCGACGATGGTGAAGAACACAACGATGGTGAAGAACCCAACATTGGACCCAATGAAGATGAAGAACCCAAGGATGGTGAGGAACCCAACTTTGAACCCAACTTTGGACCCAAAGATGGTGAGGAACCCAACTTTGGGCCCAACGTTGACCTCGACGATGGTGAAGAACCCAACGAAGGTGAAGAACCCAACTTCGGACCAAACGTTGACCTCGACGACGACGAAGAACCCAACGTTGACCCCGTTGACCCCAACGATGACGAAGAACCCAACGTTGACCCCGAAGATGGTGAGGAACCCAACTTTGGACCCAACGTTGACCTCGACGATGATGAAGAACCCAACAACGATGAAGAACCCAACGATGACGAAGAACCCAACGTCGCCCTCAACGCCGCCGTTGACCCCAAGGATGACCCCAAGGCCGCCGTTGACCCCAACGATGACCCCAAGGATGACCCCAAGGCCGCCGCTGACCCCAACGATGACCCCAAGGTGGACGCCAAGCTGGAGACGGAGCCCAGGGTGGAGGCCAAGGCCACGGCGATGCCGGAGCGCGGCGGTTTGGGGAAGGCGGGCAGCAGCAGGAAGTGGGGACCCCCGGGGGGTTTCTGGGGGGTCCTGGGGGTCTCCAGCGCCCCCAGCAGCAGCAGCTGGCGGCAGATGTCCTGCGTCAGCTGCATCTGCAGGAGCTGCCGCTGCTGCAGCTGCCGCAGCTCCTCCAGGATCAGCCGCAGCTCCGGCGGCGCCACGGCCGGGGGAGGGGAGGGCGGGGAGGGGGCGGCGGGGGCTGGGAGAGAGAGAGAGAGAGAGGGAAGTCAGGGGGGCGTGGCCTCGAGTTTGGGGTTTTTAGCCCAAAATTGGAGATGTCCGAGGGGAGTTGGGGGGGTTTAGCCCCAAAATTATCGTTGTTTGCCCCGAAATTACAATTATTTACCCCAACTAATTGTTATTTGCCCCAAAATTATCGTTATTTACCCAAAATTGTCATTGTTCAGCCCCAAATTATCGTTGTTCACCCCAAAATTATCATTATTTACCCAAAATTATCGTTGTTTGCCCCGAAATTACAATTATTTACCCCAACTAATTGTTATTTGCCCCAAAATTATCATTATTTATCCCAAATAATCGTTATTTGCCCCAAAATTATCAGTTTGCCCCAAAATTATCATTATTTACCCAAAATTATTGTTGTTTGCCCCAAAATTACAATTATTTACCCCAAATAATTGTTATTTGCCCCAAAATTATCATTATTTATCCCAAATAATTGTAATTCGCCCCAAAATTATCAGTTTGTCCCAAAATTATCGTTATTTACCCCAAAATTATCATTATTTACCCCAAAATTGTCAGTTTGCCCCAAAATTATCGTTATTTCCCCCAAATTATCGTTATTTACCCCAAAATTCCAGGCTTTCCTCCCCAAAAATCCCATTTTTTTACCCAAAATCCCATTTTCCCACCCAAACAATCCCAAAATTCCACATTTCCCCCCCAAAATTCCCATTTTCTCACCCAAATCCCCCTAAATTCCAGGTTTTCCTCCCCAAAAGTCCCATTTTCCCACCCAAAATCCCAATTTTTTCACCCAAACAATCCCAAAAATCCCCATTTCTCCCCAAAAATCCCCAATTTTTTTCCCAAAATTCCCAATTTTTCCCCCCAAATCCTGGGTTTTTTTTTTTCCCCAAACTCCTGGGGTTTTCCCCCAAATCCCGGTATATTTTTCCCAAATTCCCAATTTTTCCCCCCAAATCCCATTTTCTTTCCCAAATTCCCAATTTTTCCCCCCAAATCCCGATTTTTTTCCCTCCCAAATTCCCAATTTTTCCCCCAAATCCCCTTTTTTTCCCCAAATTCCCAATTTTTCGCCCCAAATCCCGGGTTTTTTTTTTCCCCAAATTCCCAATT